ACTCTGCACAGATGCTTTGCTGTTAGTATCGTCAATGTACTATATGGGTACGTGTACACTGCAGCTGGGAGTGAGCCTCCCCGCTGGGATAGACTCGTGCTAGTCAGCTCGAGCCAGTGTGCTAAATATAGCAGTGAGGATGTTGTGGCACCAGCAGAGGCTCAGGCTTAGCCAGCCAAGCTCGGACTCACCCTACACCCTGGGTCCGAGTTAGCCTGAGCCACTGTCAGCGCTGCGCGGTCCGCCTAGCTACCCTGAGCGCAAGAGCTCAAGATGAGCTCGCTCGCGTCTGTGAGGCATGCTCCCAGCCGGAGTGTAGACCTACTCAATGTGTCTCTGAAATCTGCTTCCCTTCTTTTCAAAACTAGTTTCAATCTCAATCACCCTTGTCTTATAAGACCAAACTTGGAAAGAAAATATATAACTCCATCTGGAGCTTGAATTATATGGGATCCAGTGAGATGTGTATTTGGACAGCCACGGATATGTGTGAAAACTAGAACCGTGGATGAGTCCGTCAATTTGATGAAAGGGAACTTATCTGTAGCTTTAAAAAAAAAAAAAAAAGGCACCTGAAGAACAGTGTCACATGATGTATCTGGGTGGATGCTGTGCACTAAAATGGAGTATATTTCAGCTCTGAATAGGATTCAAAGGCAAGATGTAGACTGCTGCTTGAGCCTTAGTGAACAAGGGGTTAACCTCCAGCTCTGCTTTGTCCTTCCCCTAAAGATGCTTGAGAGAGTGGATTCTTTGAAGATAGAGGGAGGAGTGCTTTGGGGAAAGTCAGAGACTTCACAATCAGTCTTAGTTTTTCTGTTCACCTTCCTGCTTGTCTTCACATATTTTACTTTTTTTGCTGTGCATGTTCTCCCTGGAGGGCAATACTTCTGCTTACTGCAGCTGTTTTTTCTGTCAAGTCACCCCCCCAGCGTACATGTTTAAAACAGTTTCTCTCTTGCCAAAGGAGTCTCTAGTTTTCAAGTATCATGTACTGAAGTTAATATGTGGTAATGGATGGCGCAGAGGGAGAGATTGAGAAGTACATTTGTTCGGAGATGTATAGTCAGAATTGCTTGGATCCTAGCACAAAAGGAACAGTGTCCCCAGTCTGGTCCCTCAATTTTATGTTGTTCCATTAATTTACATATCAGTATAATTCCTAGAAGTGCTACTGTGATTTCTCAGTAAGGCCCTTATAATGGTGGTAAGGGTTACCAGCAGAAGAATTCTAGGAATGATAACTTGATATTCTTTTGACATTCCCCAGAGATGCATCAATTTAAGTGGCTTAACTATGTGTAAATAAAAAATATTGCAACAAGACAATATGACATGAAGACAAGTGATTTTTTTTAAGATGGTTATCTGTATTTAATTGCAGCCATTGGTTCAGTACATAAAGTTTCAGTTTAGATCAGTTTGCCTTGTCCTGATTCTCTCTACTAAAACTCATCACAGGTCGCAACGCTGGTGTCCAGGTCAACAAGGAAGCAAGAGCATGTGCCTCTCTATAAGAATGAAAGGGTGCCTTTTTCCTTTGGCCTTTTAGCGGGGGAGGGGAGAGAAGACAAGAAAATGAATTAATAGAGATTGGTTTCCTCTGAAGGACTTGTATCTTCCATAGTTATCAAATGTACTGTTTTGCACACCTACGTGCTCACCCACTTACTTGTACAGCCCTTGGTAGGCTGGGCTGCCTTCCTCGCTTTGTTTGTTATATTACAAAGCTTGTTCTCCATGGCTCATTTATTCAAATCAAACCTAGATTAATGCCACATCTCCTGAACAGCTGGTTGCATGTGCCCCTAGGAGCCTCTTGCTCATTGATCAGGCAAATGCTATGTGTTGAAGGTGTGCTTATTCTAAGGGGGAGCCTTCCAAGATCCAGAAGCCATACGGGAGAGCGATACTGTGAGTGCAGGTTAGTTTTCTTGTCAGATGACTTTGACCAAGCATGCTCCCCAGCCTCCTTTCTTTTGTTTCTATAAGGTGTGAAACTTTATTGCTTTTACAGTTGCAATAAATGCACATGATGATTTACGGACAAAAGACAAAAGGTGCAATCCTGGCCCCACTGAAGTCAGTTCCTGTTTTGCCATTGACTTCAATGGGGCAATGATTTGACCTGCTATCTCTACTTCCAAGAGGTTTACCGTCCAAATTAAGACCTGCTTGTCAAGAAATGGTAGGAAACTGAGGGAAAAGAAAGGGACAGGAGCTACCGAACAATAAGATTTGTATTCTTGCTTTGATTAATAACGTTAGGTGCCTTGCTCCAGACTCTACTGTTCGTTTGAAGGAGAGACTGTAGTTTAGTTTACAGATCTTGTGGTTTCTTCAGAGCTCTGTTCCCAGGAGCCTGACTGCAGGGGAGGAGCCACATCAGAGCACTGGGAGCAAGTAGGCAGCCTCCTGGCCCAAGGCAACCGTAGTGCCTGTGACACCTGCCCGCTGAGATGATCTATCATATCCATCAGTAGCAGGGGAGGCCAGGGTAATTTTTAAAGGAAATTTCTTATCATGGGATTGGTATGAGTTGGTGTCAGTATTCTGTCAGGAGTGTGTGTGTGTGTGGGGAGGGGGGGAATACTATGGTAATGGATGGCGCAGAAGGAGAGATTGAGAAGTATATTTGTTCGGAAATGTATAGTCAGAATTGTTTGGATCCTAGCATAAAAGGAACAGTGTCCCCAGTCTGGTCCCTGAAAACTTTCCTTCCTTAGCTGTTAAGAACTGGAATGACAACCTGCTCGGGGATGTGATTGAACCAATTCCTCATGCTTCTTGTCTCACTTGTGAAGAAGCTTCACAACTTAGTTCCCACCCAGAAGAAAGCTCTACCCACAGCTTGCAGCATTGGTTCAAAGACTGCACTTACATTTTTTGGTTCTAATGGTCTCTGCCACACTCAGGGTTGCCCATCTGCCTCATGTGAATGATAAGGAGTGAAGTGTACAATTGAAGTGGCTCCCAAACTTTTTAGTAAGGCAGCCCACCAACTGCTTGCTTTTTTCCTTTTTTGCAACCCACCCGCAGTCCAAAATCACAGGCCAGCATCCTTCTCCTCCACCTTTTCCTCCTTGCCCTGCGGAGGGGGCAGTGACCACCCATAGTAGCACTCTCTTCCCCCAGCACAACAACCCTCTTCCCAGCCTGGAGCAGAGAGGAGGTCTCGGGGTGGTGGTGGGCAGGGGGAGGTTGGAGATTGGAGATTGAGCCTACCCTGCACTCACCCTGCCATGGTAATGCCTGTCCCGGCACTTCACTTATTGCAACCTGGCGCACGGAGCCGCAGTGTTGCTCAGGGGTTGGCCCTCAGTGGGCACTGGTGCCCCCTGTGCCAGGTCACAACACCACTCACTAAATTTGGCCCACCGGCCCCTCCATCATGATATGTTCGCTGAATGGGCGGTCAGCTCCCTCCTAACAGACAACAGAAGCAACCAACAGAACTTCAAACATGCTAGACTACATCTTGACAAAAGGAGTACTTGTGGCACCTTAGAGACTAACAAATTTATTAGAGAATAAGCTTTCGTGAGCTACAACTCACTTCATCGGATGCATTCAGTGGAAAATACAGTGGGGAGATTTTACATACACAGAGAACATGAAACAGTGGGTGTTACCATACAGACTGTAATGAGAGTGATCAGGAAAGGTGAGCTACTACCAGCAGGAGAGGGGCGGGGACTTTTTGTAGTGATAATCAAGGTGGGCCATTTCCAGCCCTTTACAAGAACAGTAGGAGGGGAAATAAACAAGGGGAAATAGTTTTACTTTGTGTAATGACACATCCACTCCCAGTCTTTATTCAAGCCTAAGTTAATTGTATCCAGTTTGCAGATTAATTCCAATTCAGCAGTCTCTCGTTGGAGTCTGTTTTTGAAGTTTTTTTGTTGAAGAATTGCCACTTTTAGGTCTGTAATCGAGTGACCAAAGAGATTGAAGTGTTCTCTGACTGGTTTTTGAATGTTCTAATTCTTGACGTCTGGTTTGTGTCCATTTATTCTGTGTCCACATATCTATTCAGGGGACACCATCATAGGGCCTAATCACATCAGCCACACTATCAGAGGCTCGTTCACCTGCGCATTTACCAATGTGATATATGCCATCGTGCCAGCAATGCCCCTCTGCCATGTACATTGGTCAAACTGGACAGTCTCTACGTAAAAGAATAAATGGACACAAATCAGACGTCAAGAATTAGAACATTCAAAAACCAGTCGGAGAACACTTCAGTCTCTTAGCTCACCTTTTCTGATCACTCTTGTTACAGTCTGTATGGTAACACTCATTGTTTCATGTTCTCTGTGTATATAAAATCTCCCCACTATATTTTCCACTGTATGCATCCGATGAAGTGAGCTGTAGCTCACGAAAGCTTATGCTCTAATAAATTTGTTAGTCTCTGAGGTGCCACAAGTACTCCTTTTCTTTTTACGGATACAGACTAACACGGCTGCTACCCTGAAACCTACATCTTGACAGGGATTTTAGCTGTGGTAAGTTAACAGGATTTAGCTTTTAGTGCCCATCAGGATGCATCTTTGGTGACGTGAAAGTGACCAGGACTTAATGGTGCCATGTCACTAAAGACAGAATTGTTGAGGAAGGGAAGGTCTTGTGGTTAAAATACTGGACTGGGATCGAGACCTATGTGTGTGGCTCTGACACAGACCTTGTGTGACCTTGGATAGGTTGCCTAATTTCACTGTGCCTTGGTTCCCCCCCTCCCCCCCCCCCGGGAAACTGGAGATGATAATTCTAGCTTTCTCCTATTCTTGGTCTTGTCTGTTTAGGTTGTAAACTCTTGTGGGCGAGGACTGTCTCCTACTATGTGTTCGTACTGTATCCAGCACCAAGGAGCTATGATCTTTGCTGGGGCCTCTAGGCATTTGTGTATTGTAAATAATGCATAATAATTGTTCAAGTAACTACATGTGGAATCTTTATATAACTAAAAGGTTAAAGACTTCCCTTCTGTTTTCCAGGTCTACAACTTGAACAAAGACAATCAAAGTGAAGGCAGTAAGTATTTTTTTTAAGAGCAAGATCTTGTTGCTTGGGAAAACTGATGCATTGTGAGGAGGAGGTGCCGCGAATAGGAATTGCCCTGCACGCCATCACAGCATGCAGTCATTACTGATCTGGCCATGTCTGTTGCTTATATTTGGCTGTAATTATGGAACAGTTTTGAATGAGACAAAAGAAACTGGGAGGTGAGACTGTAATTCTTGTCTCATCCGCACTGGAGCATGATGCTCAGACTTCCCCATCCATTAAATTGGGGGGATGATGATGATCTGCATCAGTTTGTAAAGCACTCTGAGGAATTAAGAGCTTGATATATGAGAGTGATGATTATAAAAAGCAAGTATGATTTTGTTTAATATTATTGATATTTATAAATAAATAAAAAAAACACCACACCAATCCTTCCGTCTCTCCAACTCAACCAATGGGAGGGCCCAGTAGGCCAGCCTTCTTTTTGCCAAAAGAAGACTCGGACTATGTTGTGTGAAAGTCTTATGGAGCAAGCCAGTGCCAACAGATACACTGGGAAGACCCTGCCCAGTCAGATCTCTGAAAAAGAGCCCAAAAGATGGATCTTAAAGACTTGTTAACTCCTTGGCCCAGACAATCAATGCCTCCTGGACTCAGAAGAGTACTCCCATTGCTCCTAGGTGTTGCAATTCCACCTTGTCCCACCTCTCACCTCCTATGTCTCAAAATGCTTAATTGGACCGTTTTCAATAGGTTTGGGCTAGCATAGATATCCTCCAAATTGCAGCTATTCTAAGCTCTTAAGAGCACCTAATGTTACTGGGCACACTGAAGCCCACTTTCTTTTTAAACAAGTAAATATTTCAATTGTAAGCTCTCTAGGACAGGAACCTGTCTTCACAGTTGCCTGGAAGCACCTCTCACTGTGATAGGACATAGACACTAAGTGAGGGAAGGTTTGTAAATGCTTTTTTTTTTTTTTTTGCAGCTGCTCTCAGCTCTTGCTCCTCCACTCCCCCGCTTCCCTTTTCCTGATATGAATTCATCTCTAGTTATTGGCTGCATGTGGTTTTTAATCACATTTGGTATTTTTGTGTTTCCGTGCAAAGCAAAATGACGAACACCCAGCCCTGACATAGTGCTTCATGTTCACAGAGGGCTGTGCAAAGGAGTAATACTTTGTCTTTATATGACACTTTGCCTCAGAGGAGCTCAAAGTGCTCATATACCCATTTTATGGCTGGGAGAAATAAGGCACAGGTCGATTGTCAGGAGGAAGAGAACAAAGATCAGTCAGAACCTTAACCTGGGCCTGTAACCTCTTGTAAATGGTCAGGTTGCAAAATGATCGCAGTTTTTATTATTACTTTTAAAACACACTGCACCTTGGCAGTGGTAGAGTTCAGGTCACACGTCCTTGGGAAGCTTTCCATGGTCACTTGCATTTTCTAATTCCCCATCATTCCCTTTGTTTAAGGCACACTAAGTTTGCAAAGCCTACACTGGCTCTGCAATGCCTGGCTTAGGCTCTCCATATACAATGCCCCAATAAATCTGGGGAGCCCTCTTGAGGGGCAGTCTGGACCCTTTATATTCATTTGGGCCACTTATCACAGGCAAGTTTATTTACACACTGTCTGTTTCCTTAGCTCCCACTGGTGTCTAACTCTTTGAACAGATCACTGGCAGCTTTATTAAGGGCATGAGCTAAGGGAGGGCTGGAGTGTTGAGGGCAGGAGGACGAGAGTCCTGTTGCCATTTTTAGGCAGCTGGTGGCTAAGATGAAAGCCCCATGAGATCATAGGCCTTTGTTGCTGTGGGATCCCGGTGCGGCTTATAAATAGAATGTTTTCCCCTCCTGAATCTGAGAAAGGGTATACACACTAATGGGGAATTTCAGACTTGCTTCTGGACATTGAGCTCCTTCATCTGATAGGTCTGACATTCAGCGGACCGAGCAGCCTGGTGGCATGGCTTCCCTTTCTGTCCTTGCCAGCCACTGGTGCTGACAAACAGAAAATGATTTCAACCCCACTCCCCCGCTCCTCTCCCCACAACTTTTCCCCCCTCTCCAAGGCAAGATTTACATCCCTGTCAGTTTTGTTTTTTATAGAGGTGGTGAGTGATACAAGATGGTGCAATTACAGGTAATTCGATACCTAGGTGGGCTGTGCAGTGCTGCTAACTTTGTCTTAGCCTTGCTTCTGAGTGGTACAATTAGTGTCGCTTGCATTGTCCCAGCCAGTCTCTAAATTCACTCAGTTGGAGCTGCAATATATTGACATGCCTCCTCTCAAACTAACAGCTGGTTCCTTAGGGACACAGTGACAAACCAAGGTTTTACTGATTCTTTCAGGGACTATGTAGGTTACAGCTTGGGGCTCTGTGCCACACAAACCAATGTCTGACCCTGCTGAAGGGAAGAGAGATTAAAACTTAGTCTGATAGCACCGTTTGTACTTGAGATGTCTCCCAGAGTGCATTTGTGCAGTGACAGTGTGAGTAAATATGGTACCCAGTATTTGGTTGGCAGTATGGCTAAGTCCTAGCCAGACCTCCATTCTGGCTCTGGTAGGGACTAGTGGCATTGTAGGGACAGTGTACTTTTACTCTCAAGGGGAAGAGAGTGGGTTAGCTGATTCTTTGTTTCCTCTTGGCTTCTATTCCCAGCCACGGACTTTGTGTAGCTTTGGGAAAGTCACTAGTTACAGCAGTAGTAAGTCCACGTAGGGTGTGTCTACACTGCAGTTAAACACCCGGGGCTGGCCCAAGTTAACTGACTTGGGCTAAGGGGCTGTTTAATTGCAGTGTTGAATTTGCAGAACCCGCTGGAGCCTGAGTTCTGGGACCCTGCAAGGGGAGAGGGTCCCAGAGCTCAGGCTCCAGTTCCAGCCTGAATGTCTACACCACAGTTAAGCAGCATCTTAGCCTGAGCCACGAGAGCCAGAGTCAGCTGATGTAGGCCAGCCAGGGGTCTTCAATTGCAGTGTAGACATACCCTTAGTGACCCTTCTCACCAAGGTGTCTGGGTGCTTTTCAAAGCTTAAGTTGAGGCATTCGAGAGGAGATCAAACACCACGTTCCTCTGCTGCCTGCAGCTTCGCTAGTGCACTGAGAATCTAGGATTGAATCAGTTGGGAAGGCCTGGGCAAAGGTGCCTGTCTTTCAGTAGCTTCTCCTTCGCCATGCCACATCTGCAAAATGAGGAGAAGGCTGCTTGCCTACTTCACAGACTGCATTTAGTGTTTGTAAAGTGCACCAAGATCCTCAGGTGAAAGGTGTGTACATAAAAGTAAAATATTATTAAGTCGACCTCTGGCAATTCTTCTTTTTCGTGTGCTTGCTCATGTCGATCCCATTCTAGGTGTGTGTGCGCTCACATGCACAGTTGTCAGAAACTTTTGCCTTAGCAGTATCCGTAGGGTCGGCGGTGTGGTGCTCATGCATCGGTATATTAAGTGCCACCAACCCTACGCGCTCTCAGTTCCTTCTTACTGCCTGTGACAGTTGGTTGGAACGCCTTGTCTTGTAGATTGCAAGAGCATTAGTGGTTTTTTACAGCCTTCTTAGTACTTTTAGCTGCCAAACTGTGAACTCCGAGCCCACCTCCGAAGATACTGCTTGTGAGTCGCCTAGAATGGAATTGACATGAGCAAGCACTCGAATAAGAAAAACCGGTTACCTACCTCTTGTAACTGTTGTTCTTCGAGATGTGTTGCTCACGTCCATTCCATGACCCGCCCTCCTGCCCCTCTGTCGGAGTTGCCGGCAAGACACAACTGAGAGGGCGTAGGGTCAGCGGCACCTAATATACCGACGCATGAGTGCGGCACTCAAGGGGGTGCCACAGCTGACCCTACAGATACCGCTAAGGCAAAAGTCTCCGACGATGGGGTGCGTGGGCGTGCGCATACCTAGAATGGAATGGATGTGAGCAACACATCTCAAAGAACAACAGTTACAAAAGGTAGGTAACCAATTTTTTTCATATGGTAACCCAAACTAAAGCAGCTGCTCATGTGTCCAAAGATACAACTGTGGTCTGGTGCCCTTTAAAAAGCATGTATGAATTGAACTGTACATATGACCAGCTCCGTTCAAATTGATTCCAGGGACAGGGAGCACCAGAGACTAGGTCATTGGCTAGGTTATTTGCCATGTGATCCTGGGTATGGAACTTCCCTACAATGATGTTAAAATTGATTCAGTGATTGATTGCTCCTGTGGAGTCTGTGTCTAAGTCCTGACTCCCAGAGCCAACAAGGCTATTTTATTGCCCTAGTTGCAGTGGTCTGAGACCCAGGATGTTGTACTGAAGTCTGCTTCTTGGCTGCTGTCTTAGTTTACGGAGCCATCGGATTTTATAAGCTAGTGAGTGGCCAGAGGGGCCAGCATCCTATAAAGTAATTTATCCTGCTCTGCTTAGAGAGTAAAGGGAGTGACTTGAGAGAGGGATGATGTCTGGGGTGGAGGAATGAATTTCAATGAACTTCTAACACTAAGTGTATTTTAATTCCTTGGTTAGCAAAATCCAGAAGACCTGTCATGTTCTGCTGCCCTGCTCTAGTCTCTGAAAACAAATACTCTAGGGCATTTGGACTTGGTACAGGAAGAAGATGAATGACTGCATCCTCCTTCTCTGACTCCACTGGCTCCCCATTCACTTCAGAATCTGGTTCAAAATTGTCCACCTTAATTTTATAAACTCTTCATAGACCTTATGCTCTCTACAAACCACCTCACTCCCTTCACTTATCCCACACTGGCCTGATCTCTGTCCTACATCTAGTTTCCGTGAGAATGTGTTCAATGCGAGAGCCTTCTGCTTTGCAGCTCCTCTTCCCTGTCATCTTGGCATCTCATCAGTTCTTCATCTTTTAAATCACACAAACAAATCTCGTGTTTCCTGGTCTCCATTTCTTCATTTATCTCTCCCTCCATTGGTGTTTAATTGCCTAAAACTCTTTGAGATAGTTTTTGTTTTGTTCTGCTCTAAAACACAAAGCTGTATAATGTCTGCAGAGGAATCTGTTTGATCTTGTGTAGCTGGTGTGGTGTGACATTTGTAAGTCTGGATTCAGCAAGATCAGCCCGAGGCTGATTTTCCCCCTTCCCCTATTCTCAGGTAGTTGCAGTGTCAGCATCGAACGATGGAATTAAGGGATTAAATAGAAATAATGTACATGGCAAAAATTCAAGATGAGACGGGTCCAACTAGAGTAGTTCAAGATGTTGCATAAAACAGGATAAGTAGTTAGCAAAAAAGCTGGAATAATGGTGGTGCTTGTCAAATGTTGATTAAAATATCTCTATGCCAGATTATAGTGTGAATATTATCTTGGTTTGATACTCTGGTCAGTTGTGCATTGAAATACTTCTACAATAATACTGTTGTACGTGTGTGTGCTTGACCCACATCCATCCACTGAAGTGGGGCATAGGGAAACACCGAGGCAAGCCGCATCCCGTGAAATTTGGTTCCACATACTGTACCTCTCAGCCTGCCACTGCCCAGTCGCAAGATAGGAGGCTCAAAATGAACGAATAATTAGAGCAGAAGCTCGATTTCTGTTAGTAAATGACAGTTATCTTCATCTTTGCAATTCTGCACTTCTAATGGAAATAAATAACAATATGAGCGAGAGAATATAGGATGGGGATGAGGAACACCCCTTATTACAGAGAATTGAGAGGCATGCTGGCCACCATGTGTATTCAAGGCAGATGGGAGGGATCACTCTCTCTGCTGCCATTAGCCTCCAACTCCTGTCCGCAGCTCACTGTGCTAGCTCAAAATGCAACAGACTGAGGGCTGGTCTACACTACAGAGGGGGATCAATCTAAGTTATGCAACTTCAGCTACATGAATAATGTAGCTGAAGTCGACGTACTTAGATCTGCTTACCACAGTGTCTTCACTGCGGCGTGTTGACAGGAGACACTCTCCCATCGATTCCCCTTGCGCTTCTCGTTGAGGTGGAGTACAATTGATGATAGAGCGATTGGCAGTTGATTAATTGCGTCTATACTAGACACGATAAATTGAGCCCAATCCAGCCGGTAATGTAGACAAGCTTTCAGTCACACGCACTCATTCCATCCACTCCCAGACCATCAGATGTTAGCAAAAATACTCTAAATGCGGGAATTGACTGCTGACTTGGGGAAAATCAAGCTGAAGCCTTGTGCTGCAGATCACGGAGCTGCCTAGGGTGAATGGCGTGGGTGTTGAGGATCACGGCATTAGTAGTTCCAGATGCAGCTATGATCTGTCATCTCTGAGCTAAGTCAGTGAGTAAACAAGAGAGATAAAAAGAAGCTTCTGTGAGGGAGAGTGGAAATCAAGCTTTTTATGGTGCTCATTAAAAGTCAAATTAAAGGATAAATAAGGCTGCCTGGATATTTATTTAATTAGATATTTCTGGAGAGCATAAGGATACCAAGATTGCAAATAAATCCCTGACCTTTCCTGATCCAGAGCTCAGCAAGGAGCATAAAGAGCTGACTCAACAGCTTGGGGAGGATTATACTCTGTCACTTTCATATGGAGGGATTGCTCCTGCTTCCTCACTCTGTCTTGGCAAACACTGTTAAAAGGTCTTGCTATGATCCCTTTAGCTGTAACTCAGTCAGTACTGAGTGGTGCAGTGGGCTCAAGATGAATCTCCAGGAGTTGGAATAAACTGCGCAGGAGGGAGAATGCCCATTTGTAACCTTCACGTTCTCAATATCAAACATGGAAGGAACTTAACTAAAGCTGCAGGGGAGCAGGGAAAAGTAGCACCTGGAGGGGTTGGGGAGAATCCAGGGTAGGCCATACTGACAGCAAAAAACATTCCAACCTAAATTTTGACCAGTAATTTTGGGAGGCCCTTCTGAAAATCAGGCCCCTTTTGCAGTGTTGGGCACCTGAAATCCAAGGCACTCCTAATCAGTAGTCGGGCACTCTGGTTTTGCTGGAACTGTTTTTTTTAAATAATTTGCTTATGTTAAAGACTGTCAAAGTAGTAGTAGGCCTGCCATATCCAGTTTATTCTATATTGAGTGCCTAAGGTTTGTGGGGTCGTGTGGCAGAAGAGGTCGGAAGTGGACCTAAATAGCTTTGCTCTGTTTTGATTTGTTCTATTGAAACCCTAAACTAAAACACAGTGCCCCAGATAATCCGTTGTATCTGTTCCTGGGGAATAGCAGGGCAGTTAAAGGACCCATGGCAGTTAGCAAGACATGTAAAACTTCATAGCCATTGTGAATGTTCTGTAATGTGAGCATTCTTTAACGTGTGTGTGTTGGCTCAGCATTTCAGCAGGTTTTCCTAGAAAAATAAATTTAGAGAAGTGATATTGTCTCTGTTTCTCTTGCCATTCGTCATTTTAGTAATGGTATCAGCACAGAACTTTTAAAACAAATGAACAGATGACTTGGGGTGACAGGTAAAATTGACTAGTAAGGGGGCTGCACCTTGCAAGCTACGGACAACCAACAAACTGTCCTATTGTTGTGAATCAGCTATGTGTTCGATGTGCTTTTGGATTACCAAATGTCAGGGGAGGGGTAAAGGAAAAATATTGCACTGCTCCTGTTGTGAAGCCGCCGTGATTCCTGGACTCTGAAACTTTCCTCTGGGAGCCCAGAAATAGTACCTTTTTGTGTCTTTGAAATTTGATGTTCACCTGTATTTATGTAGGAGGAAATAAAATAGTACTTTTCTCTGCTCCTGCATCCAAAGACCATAAAGCACTTAAAAATATTAATGAATTCAGTTTCACAACGCTTCTGTGAGGCACTGTTGGGAAGTACTCTATTGCCCATTTCACAGATGGGACAGCTGAGGCACAGAGAGGTTAAATGACTTGTCCAAAGTCTGTGTAGAGTTGGGAATAAATCCCGTTTCTCCTGACTTCTTCTCATTCCTGTAAACACTAGATCATGCTTCCTCTGTAATGGGACTTTTAGGTGGTGCATAAAGTTCTGCACACTCTTGAATGCACTTTCAGGGTAGTTTCTGCATATTTCTCAAATCTCTGCAAATAAGAGAAGTAATTTTCCTTGACAAACAGCTGACTGGAGGCAGTGTGCCCCATGTACTGACTGAGAGCTGACTAAGGGATAAGTATTCCCTCAGGATCCCGGCAGGTATTTGGGTACAAGTATTAATAACTTGTTTAAATTAAATTTGAAATACTGCAACAGCACGAGTTAATTGAGTTATATTCCATTAGTATGAAATTTTTAGATCCTCTTCTCAGGCTCAAGAGTTGGATTCCTTCAGGACATCCTAATTTGCACAGAATAAATATTTCATTAGCACTAATAGAAGAAAGGATTCTACTTCCACTGTGCAAGTCTGCAAAGGAGGGAGGGAAATCTGTTGTATTGTGTGCGAGCCACAAGGGGAAAACCTTTTTAATTGGGCATTTTACAGCCTGGGACTCAAAGGTGTTTGCTTGAATAATATAATGCTCCTAGGATGCAAGGTGGTTCATCAGGGGAGTAGGTTAGTTTTTGAATCCTGTGTGGGTCAGTCATGACTAGAGTTGGCTGTGTTCCCTCCTAGACGGTGAAGGAGAACCAACCAATCACAGTGCAAGATCTCTCCTGCTGGTTTATGTCACGGGTTCTCAAACTTTTTTTGTAGCCTGGGCCACATCTCGATAGATTGTGTCTTGAGGAAACATCTCCACCTCTTTGTGATTTGCTTGAACCCCATTCTCCTCCCTAGGTCAACTCGCAATGCTTACTTACCGTGTTAGGGAAGTATTATGTAGTGTCTTTAAGGTGATAGGTGTTTTCTCCTCCTTGGGCAAAGTCTCCTTATACTCTAATCTCTCAGCACCATGTGGCTTCTTGGATCACTACCAACTGCGCAGTGGGCCATGGGGTGCAGTTTGGAAAACATTGCTTTAAAGAGTTTTGAGCCCTTCGTTGTTTCAGCCAGCAATTCAGATACATACCCCCATCATCTGTTCCCTTCTTCCATTGCCAAAGGACTCCATCCCTCCAGTCTCTCTTCACTGGGTAACACTCACTGCTACATACCTTCACCTCCCATTTTCCATCCTCCTTCCATTCTCCCTTCATCCCCACTCCTATTTTTCTCCTCCAGCCTCTTCCAGTTGTTACCTTCCAGTCTGCCCTTGGTCACCTTTCTTCCTTCTCCAGTTGCTTATTTAGCACATTTTATAGGGCATCAATCAAAACGCACCAACCTTATCATACAATTAAAAAAATAAAATAAGCAAAACATGAAATTTAGTCAAAAGAACCAATCCCCCTACATATCTAGGCAGACAGAAGTCTGACACAGGAGGAAACCCTCAAGGTAAAGTCACCCCTCCAGCAACAGTGATCATGTTTCAGCTGGATGGAGAGTAGGAAGGAAATAACTCATGTAGGAGGCGAAGTAGGGGACTCGTGAAATGTTTAGAGACTGGTCATCTGAAATAATGTGGCTTGTGGCAAATGAGAGAGACTGACAGACCTCCCAGCCAGAAGTCCCATACAGGAGATAGCATCCTGGTCCTGAATGAATGTCGTGAACAAGCACAAACCTGCATCTCTGCAGGGAACTGGTACTAGAATTGGAGGGGGTGCTGCAGGTCGAGAGTGAAGTGCATTGGCAGAGCTGTGTGTAGCCCCAGGATTGGAACAGCATGGGGGTTTGAAATGAGATGTATGAGCATGTATGTATGTACTTGCCTGCATTGTTTCTGAAGAAAGCTAGTGCGTTAGTCTTTCTCTTTTGTGGACACCAAATTTATCCCCCCCAAATTATTTTTTAAAAAGCAATACAATATCTGTTTCAATCTTGGAGATGATTCTGTTGGATGAATGGAGTGCTCATTGTGAAATCATCCCCATTGGCTAAGTGTTTTATCAGTTTTTTTCTTTCCTTTCAGCTGCTCAGTTGGATAATATTGGATTCAGCATTATCAGGAAATGCATACATGCTGTCGAAACAAGAGGTATAGTAGTTCACCAGATGCCCTTGTTTTTAGGGAAGGTCTTGCATCTGTTTTTAGCATTGTCTGTGCTTACCTTCTCTTTTTGTGCACAGAAATGACTTATTAACCCTCAGAGTCTCATGTTTGATATACCTCATTATAGGCTGGCACAGATGTCCTAGCTGGCCATGTACTTTAGCTTGAATAACTGGAGAACACAGGTGTTAAGCAGATCTCAGGAACTGAAGGATAAACAAAGAAATGTTGGGCTAGATTTTTAAAATTGGGAGCGGAATTTAATTTGAAATCTAATTTTGGGTATAATTTAATGTGCGCACCTCTCAAACAAATATGAATTTTATTCTCAATACCCCTGTAAAGTAGAGAAATCCCCATTTTACAGGTGGGGTGGGCACAGGTAAGAGAAAGTGACTTGCCCATTGGTCTCACAGGAAATCTGTAGCTGATCCAGACTTGAACCCAGGTCTCCTGAGTCCCAGCCCATTGTTCTCCTTCCTACCTGTAAGGGAATTCAGAACATTGGGTGATGTTAGGAACTGAGTATTTGCCATACTGCAGTGCTGCTGAGGCTCATATCCTAAGGACATAGAGTATGCGGTGGTTACTGAAGAGCTGCAGGCTGGTGAAGTTTTGCAACGCCCTAAATGAAGAAAAATAGTTTGCATTATTGAGATTTTCCTGCTGTCCGTGGTACAAACTCTGTTCAAATAACATGCTGGCTGTGATGAAAACCCTGGTTTAAGAAAGGCAAACAAAGCCAATACATTTATTTAGACCTGCAAAGGTCAAAATGCCCTCAACTCTCATTCCCTTCAGTAAGACTGGAGGAACATTCAGTTCCAGTTAGTCAGGTCCTTTGACTAGTGTCTGTAACAGCAAAGTAGATCTGTGTTGTTTGTCCTTTATTATTTATTTCTGTACTACCATAAGCCTTACTTTGGATCAGAATCACATTGTGCTGCACACTCTGCTGACACATGGAAAGACACGGTCCCTGACCAACATCAGACTCCTCAGCGCACCCACCCACTTGCCTGTTGCCAATCAAATATTTGTTTCTGGTGCTTCCTTGCTTTCTGTTGTCCATCACCATCTTCTGATTCCTGAGCTGATCAGGAGACAACACTTCGTAATAAATACATAAAAACCCAGACGTCAAAACCAAATCTCAACCCTTTCTAGAACAGCCAGGCTGAGAGTGTTGCATGCAGCTGGTGGAAGTTTTAATTACTGCAGCTATTAGCAAATCCAAGGAAATGAAAGAAATGTTAATCTTTTAACATTCCCCTAATTAAGTAACCTCTTTATTTTTCCAGGGATCAATGAGCAAGGGCTCTACCGAATTGTTGGAGTAAACTCCCGAGTTCAAAAGCTATTGAGTATCTTAATGGGTAAGTGTCTCAAATCCACATTAGAGGGAAGCAGCTTATTACCAGCCCTGATGACGGAGGCTGTCGTCGAAATACCAGAACCTGGGGTGGGAATTCCACTTTGGGAAATGAATTCTCATTAACATGTTCTGTGAGGGGTCAGGAGAGTGTGGGGATTGGAACACTAGGAATTGTGTAGGGCATTCACTTTAAAGGGGCTTTTATTTCACCTGGTCTGTTGCTTGTGCCTCACTCATATGCTTTGCAAATCTTGGCAGTCTTCCCAAATGCAGCCTGTAACCTTCAGAAAAATAGTTGAACCGTATGTTAGCTTTTATTCCTATACCTGCCACATGCTCCCTCTGTTCTTGTCTCCAGTAGTTTTGTCTCTATTTCATGTTGCTCATGGTTCTAGTTGCTCTCCCTTTAGATCTAATTTTCCTGTCCAGCTATGTTTACTACTAGCAGAGTTATTTTAGCCCTCCCCCATCCACTTTCTTGTTTTTAACTTCTTCCCATAGCAGGTCATAAAAGAACCCTGTTGTCGGTGAGACTTCAACACAGCCATCCTAACAGTTGGTCAGAGTGTGAAGCGAATAGTGTAAATTAACTGGATGGGGATAGCAAGTGTATGTGGTGGGTTTAGCTGCTGTGGGATTATGGGGGGCAGTGACTGTTCCATAATTTCATCTGTTTTTTCAATAGACTCCCTCCTGGAAGAGCTTCTTTACCTGTAGATGAATATGCTAAAGGGAAGGGCAAAAGGGGCTGACATGTTAGGGCTCTGTGTCTGACCAACGAGGTTCAGCCCAGTGTTTGAGAATGTCCACTTGAGACAGAGTCCTAGTCAGGCCTTCAGACGTCCCTCCCACCTCAGAAAGATTTTTCCTGTTGGAAGTTCAAGGCTACTATTCCTCTCTGTGTGTATGCTGAACAGCCTGATAATGTGTCACCATCTCCTTCCCGGTTTCAACTTTGTGCTAAGCCCCTCTGCATTGCAGTCTGCCTTCTGCCTTCACAATTCCATTGCTCTCTCTGTGAAGTATGGAGAGCTACAAATCCTGGGTGTTTTGAACACTGAAGACCTCCTAGCAAGCACAACTGAATAGTGAGATTCAGTACCTCAGAGGTCAAAGCAGACCCAGCTGGGCCCCAAAATTTCATTTAATGTATCAAGGTGGGGGGCATTGTCTCTCCACTCTGTGCTCTGCCACAAAACTCAGGGGTTGCAAGTCCCTCAATCCCATTCACATCCTACCAGCAGCAGTATCTGCAGTCCATGGCTGACTCACACTTAGTGCTGCTGCCCCTGCAAGCGTGTGGGAGTGACTCTTCGGGATCAAGGTAGGGGCATTCCTCACTTCACTATGCATTGAAAATCTGCTGTCTCAGGCAGTCACCTGTGCCACCTACCCCTTTTGCTGGCCCTGTTCATGTGGCAGTAGCAATGTGCAACAGGAGCCAAAGCGTTGCATGGGCAGGTTGATATATCAATGCAAAAGTGCATCAGAACTTAGAACAGATACAGCTGCTCACACAAGAGAGCAGTTCTGTGCTTTTTTTCCCGCTCTGGAATCTGAAATGAAGCCATGACAGGAGGACGTTTCCACATGGATTTCCAAAGAGGTAACCTGCTGTAAGTTGAAGCATGTGATTTTCAGCCCTGTTTCAGCTGCATTTAGAATTTCATTTATTGCTTTAGCTCTAATAACTCCATAGGGAAAAATACCCATCCAGAGCTCCAAGCACCCTAGACATGCATGAAAAAAAACACTTAAGAAAAGTTGTAAACAGTCAGTTAACGTGGTAGCATTCCAACCCCATCTCATGCTGTTTAGTGCCTGGTAGGCCAATATGAATTAGGATATGTCTAAAGAAAAGGAGTACTTGTGGCACCTTAGAGACTAACCAATTTATTTGAGCATGAGCTTTCGTGAGCTACAGCTCACTTCATCAGATGTTTACCGTGGAAACTGCACGTTTCTACAGGATATGTCTGTAACTGAATATTTTAGTTATTTGTTCAGTGCCTTAGTGTCACATTCATCACTTGCTGGAAAATCTGCTCCCCTTGGGACTACTATGCTTTCTACCCTTTGGACTGCCGCTCTGTCCACTCTATTGTCCTCTCTTGATTTCTCTCCCCCTTCTCAATCTTTGATCCTCCTCTGTTTTTTCCCCTCTGCATTTCCTCCTTGCAGCAACTCCAATTTCCAACCCTGTGTACTAAAGTGATCAGTGATTAACTTGTTTAATGTTGACACTGAAATTTCGTAATCGCGCTTTAAAGTTGATAGTCCAATGAGGTTAACGGGGACAGAGGCGGTCACACTTGCACGTCATTGTTCCAGGCTCTCTGCAGACTAAGGCAGACACCACTGCATCAGTCACACTCTGTTCACATTTGGAAGTTTATCTCTGCAGCCATAAAGGCTATTGTTTTAACGAATGTTTATCACAGATTCTCCGTATGGGCCCCGTAACTATATCATCTGGGTTGGATCGATCTCATGGGTCATATGTTTGCCAGCCTGTCTCAAAAAAGCATTAGGTACTGGCCACTGGCAAACATAAGCTTCTACTTTGGGTGCACCTACCGCACAATCTGATCTGATATGCCAGGACCTCTGGTTTTTTGTTTAGTTTTTTTAACCAGAATGCATGTATTAAGAACTATCAAAGCATTTGGAATTACTGGCTCCACACAGTGGGCCAAATCATGGCCTCGGTTCCGCTCTCTCAAATATATCTGTTTCAGTATAAGGTTCCCTGGCTGTAACAGATAGCTGGATTTGGTCCTTTGTGGGTTCTTTAGTGCTGAGAGGAATCAATCCTTTGGCCACCATCCAAAAACATCATCTCCTTAGTAGCTGAAGACACTCCGTCTTTGGCTTCATGCCTCACAATGTGGTGATATAGTCAGTGTTTGTGTCTTGCCTGCCATGTCTTCATTAGCTGCTGATGTCTGAAGCATAGCAATGAGCCCTAAGCTTGCTGGCAGGCTAGAAGATTAGGGGTGTCACCCAAGTAGGTTGCAATTTGTTTTAATCCCTGTTGATCTTCAATATTGTTATTGTCTGGCTGGAAAAGGGCATGTCTTGACCTCCTCATATTAACAACAGAACCCAAGGGGAGTATCTTTGCTGAGTTCCAGCCTCCAGGCTGACACAAGCTCTCTGTAAAGGCACTGCCAAACTGAGCTCTGCTCCTCTCCCCTCCCCCCCCCCCCGGTCTTTTTGGACTTAATGCGTTTAATGTAAAAGCAACATCCTGTTCAAATGTTGACTATTTAGATCAAAACCTCATGACCTAAGGAGCCAGATTTTGCTTACAACTTCAGGTTTCCCTTATATTTAGAAATGAATGTGGTCAGCATTAGTGATTCACATACAGATTAAATGGCAAGTGGATCAGGTTTCAGAGAGCTGTGATTGGTGTAAATGGCACACGCTGTGGAGGCCTTCGGTGTGACTTTTCTACAGAAGGTGCTATGCTGCTCTGTCCTCAGCTTGGAGGTATTTGCAGATAGCACTTTGCATTGGCAGTAGCTGCTTTAGACTCAAATACAGTACCTGCCATGCTCTTGCTGTGGGACTTGTGTATCAAAGGCAAATGACTTGCTCCTCAGTTTCCCTACTGGTGAAATGGTGAATACCTCTCTATCAGGGTTCTTTTGAGGCTTAATTCATCAACATTTGTAAAGTGTTTATCTTTCTTCAGCCCCTGCCATTAAAAATCTCCAAAGTATTACTTATTTATCAAGCACAGCTGTTTTTGAAGTGTTGTACTGTTAAGACATGAGCACAAACACAGTATAGTAATAGAACTAGCATGCAAATCTGTTCTTTAAAGGCTCCTTATTAAGATACATGGTGGAGTATAACATATTGAGTGATCCTACTGATCCTTGCCAGTGTAGTCAGCGGTGAGTGAGATTTCCTATAGCCATTGGCCTTTATGATGAAATGTGTTTATGGCTGTTTTTGAAACCATCTTAATGTCACCCAAGTGGCTATTAGAATTAATACCTGGTAACATGATTGTATCCCAGGCAGCTCTATTTATCACAGCGAAAGTGGTGAGGAATTGAAATAACAGCAGCGGTGGCTAGTACTGTTCCCCTCTCCCTTAACGTCTCCCAGAAATTTACTAAAGACATTCTGCAACACTGGCTACAGTACTTCTGGGAAAGATGTTATTGGATAGGCTAATCGGCATTTCAGACACCATCTGGAAGAATCAGACCCTGGGGAGCCGCTGTGCCATTGTATGTAAGCATCTCGCTGTATTTCCATCAGAGTGCTTGTTTTTTCCAGTGTTTAATCATTCTTAGTCATTTAACTTAACATCAAGCTGAAAGTTTGTGACCCCAGCTAATTTGATTCACTGTGCCATGGGAGCTGTATAGTTGGTAGTATGCCTGGGTGGGCAGGCTCATGATTGGAGATGATGCCCACAGTTCCTCTCAGTCACCAGAGCTATTGTCTACAAAAAAAAACCCACACAAAAACAAAACAAAAAACAAAACAAAACCCCACATCCTGACTTTTGCTGATCTTGGAATCTGTTGTGTTTGGGGCTGCCTTGTTTTTCTTCAGACGATCACCACATGATCCTTTTAAATCAAAATATCAATCTCTGTCTGTTGGTTAAGCTTATTCATAACAGTTCAGACGCAGTGGAAGCTCCATGTTGTGGGACGTTTATGATGAGGCAGGACAAAACCCTAGTAACTATGCATGGGAAAGGATCTTGCACTGGTGGTATGGTGGTGGGAGCGGACAAGTTGACTTCTTCCATCTCCATCTTCCATCACAGAAGAAGAAATGTTCATGCTTCTACCTCCCATTATTGTTCACATTCATCTTTGCTGTGTTTGTCTAAACATACATCTTGTTGAGTCTTCTCTGAGTTGCTGTGTTGGCACTGTTATTAAAAAAGCCTTTAACTTCTGCTCATTTTGACCATATCAAGTTATTTTTAACCAATAAAAATGGTCTCCTTTTAAAATGCAAGTCAGA